CCCCAAAACCCCAAAACCCCAAAACCCCGTATTGCCTTGAATTAATTGAATGTAACTCTCATACTAAATTAGAAGATCAAATATCTAGTTTATTTGACAATTATTTAAAATTTCTAACTGATCTCTCCAAAGTGTTTAAACATGGAACCATATGAAAATACGCTGTCTTTTTAGTTCAAATTGATCAAATTAGTATTAACTATTCGTATAATTCTAAACATGTAGGGGTATATTTAACTATAATTCAAACTATTTTACCCTGTTAGCTCCTAAATCGGACTGTTTTAGCTTTAAATCTAAATTATCCTAGTGTATTAGCCCACTGCATTTTCCTTAGAACGATAATTGCACATTACGGAAAGCTAAGTGGCCCATTCAGGCTGGTATAGGAGTCAATAATTAAACAGGTTTCATGAGGCATCATCAGCCTACTTTGGATAAGATTTGGTTGATCCTACATAAAATAATCAATATTTTTGTATTATAAATCAAAGACTTTGATGAAAACTTTAGACAAATTCTGACGCAGATTCAGATATTTCAGCTGAGTCAGATCTGATGAATCTTTTAGACTCATCTAGTTGGATGTTAAACACTTCTGAAGCTTTTCCTATCAAATCGATAACTGTACTTTTGAAGTTGTGGATAGAATTGCTGATCTCATCCATTTCAGATCTGATCTTTATGAGTCTTTTCTTTCCACGCTTATCGTAGAAATTAAAAAGTTCGTCTTTATCATCATTCTGGAATGAAATAATGCTGACCTGAATTACACTTTGGTTCATTAATTCCACTCTTTCAAGATTGCTCATGGTTATTGTCTTTGGAAGAGATTTCAAAGCGTTTAGGAGATTGATATCTCCTTCAGAGTTGACATCTATGCGAGGTTAGTTCTTAAGCATCTTAGATTGAAATTAACTTACCTCTGAATCTCATTATGAAGGATTTAACATTATTCAACTTAAGTTGATCCTCTTCATTATCAAACTCATAGTCATCATCTTCTAATATTTTTCTGTCTGGGTTGTTAATGTCCATATTTGAGACATTGAGAAGATTCTTTTCAAACAATTCCATATAGGTTGAGCCAACCAACCTTCTAAATTTTCTGTTCTTTGGGATGATCTTAGTATCGTCAATCAGAGGAATTAGAGGATCTGGTTCATCTTTAAAGACATCTCCAACATCCTTTTCATTGTACCTTCTCCAAATTTTAATTATCAAAGAAGTCGAAATATTGTATTTTGTAAGATCTCCTTCTTCCCATCCTATTTGCTTGACTTTGTCTAATTGGAGTGTTTGGTTTTTCTTGAAATCTACCTTGTCTTTCTTTCCTAGAGATGATTAGATAAAATCCATCTTACTTTTACGATTCATCTCAATAAAAATGCCTTTCATGACCTCATAAATATTATTCAGATGTTCAATTTTAAGTTTCTTTTCTTCTCTGTGGATCTTTTTAGCGTCTGTGGCAGTAATAGTGCCATCATATCAGTTAATTTTGTAGAAGTATATTATATCTTTGAGTACGTAGAGGGGTAGGACAAGAGTTCCAAAGATGATCCACCAGAACCCTATCCACAAGAAGTTGTACCACTTCATTGATCTGAAAAGGTTGTATAATATCTTTCAGAAGATTATTGGAATTAAGAGAATCAGTACGATCATGAAGAGAATAGACATAATGATGTTATCTATCCAGAACATTCATCTATAGAAGGAATCTCCTGCTGTTTTGGAATGCTCTGAGAAAGCTGATGGAAGGAGGAATATTGTTAGTAAATTGAGTGGTGCAGGATGGATTACTAACTGCTCGAGCCCCTTCTTATCCTTCATAGCTAATTGATATTTTTCCATGTATGAATATCTATTAGCTTTAAATTTGAAATCTCCAATAACTCTCATTGTAACATAAACTGTGGAGAGAATAGCAATCAGGAAGTTCAACAAGAAAATATTCGAAATAATGATATGAGACATCATTAAGTAATCATGCGAATCATTGTTTTGCTCAAGGTCTTCTGAGTCATAATTTCCGAGGGTGTAATCGAACATTGTTCTGAAAGTAGTTGAGAAAGATCCATATTTCTCATCATCTTGAGCTTGAAATAATGTAGAAAATATTGATGCTGCAAGAAGTAGATAAGAGCACATCACAAACATAAAGAAAATAGTATCTTTAAGCATCTGAATAAGAGTCAAGAATAGCTTTGCTACAGGTTTAATTAAAAGGAAATAAGAAAAATATCTTAGCCATGAGACAATGAGGACAGCCACAATGTAGTAATCTATTATACTCTTTTGATCTTTATCAAAAATATTTTCATAAGTCAAGCTTCTTGTATAGTTAAAACTCACAACACACACAAATCCACATACAACGTCTAAGATAGTCCATTTATCAACAGGGAGGGAGGCTTCTTTCGATAATTTGTTAAATAACCACTTTCAGAAGCCTGAATAAAGTAATGAGAATGCACAAAGAGACCCGAAAGAATTATAGTTAGAGTAAGTTTCGATGTTTGTTTTTATTTTGTCAATCTTCTCTTGTTCTGTTGGCAAGTCTTTATACACTCTTTCTCTGAATAGTTCGAGATATTGAAAGTTTATGAACTGAAAAACAATCACGAGGATAGTAGCACAGATAAAATCTTTATTTGAAAAGAAAATCAATGGATTCATTTCTGAAAATATTTTGAAACCAGAACTTCACTTTCCCTACTATGGTAAACTGATTTGTCAACAGATCTCTTGGTGAAATTTTCCTTCCATCAATTTTCTTGGTCTTGCTTTGAAGAAGATAATTCATTGTTGAAAAATCTGCAAGTCTACCATCTCATTCTGTAGAGGCAATTCCATCCCAAAGAGTGTCAAGGAGGACTGTAGTTTTGGGAGACTTCAGAAAAGACTTTAGTTCAAGCTCATTTACGATTTTTATTAGTGATCTATCTTTAAAGTCTTTGGAGAGGTAGATTGATTCGATCATATCGTAATCTAAGTTGAAGATTATCTTCTCTATAAGATTGTCAAGTCTGTGAATAATCCATTTGCACTTCTTCTTGAACAGATTGACATATTTCCCAATGTTTATTAAATATTCTTGACAAAGAGCAAGGCAGAGTAAGGTGTTTGATGAATGCAGAATTATGTTCCTCTCATTAGGCTCAGTCACTATTCTTTTGAGAATGTTTAATAATCGAAAAACGTGCTGGACTCTCATCTTAGAGATATTAGAATATAAAAGAAGATTGAAGTTAATGTCTAGCTTCACTCCTCTTTCTAGATATCCAAGGTACATTTCAATAGTCTTTTCCTTGTCAAATAAATTTAGAGAATTAAAGATTCCATTGAGAACACCGTATCTAAGGAAGTCATCATTGCCATTAGTAAGACAGAAGTAGTACAAATCATCTTCAATGTCATAATCATAATGTTTCTGCTTGGAAATAGCAATGCTCCCCATTCCTACTTTCAAGAGAGAAATGATCATGTTTTCACCAGGAGAGTTTAAATTCCAGTCTACTACTTCTTTTATCTTCTTATGGCCATTCTTGGGGTTCACTTTGAGGATCAAATTAAAGAACTCATCATAAGTAAACTTCAAGCCTTTTGGATCTTGGGTTTCATTATTGTTAGGATTCCTAAATGTACTCTTCTTCCCAATAGAATTACTCGGATCATTGTCTGAAGCAGAATTGTCCCCATCCAGTTTGTAATAAATCTTATCTTTCTTCCACATTACTTGTAGGAAAGTATACAAGTCTCCTGTGACACCCATTTTTAAGTAGGATTTTTCAATCTTTCAGGTATACTCAAGCAGGACAGTGCATCAGATCTTCTCATGCCTTTTAATCAAGGCGATCTTTAGAACCATTGAATTGAATTTAGACCCAACTTCTGACCTGAGTATGTTCTTTATATTGTACTTATTGTCTTTGAAACTCATCAAGAATTCAGGGTCTTCCATATTTACGTTCCCTTTCTTTAGAGATTGCATTGACCGTAACGAATGATGTGACTTATTGTCATCTTCCTTTCTAGTATTGTTTAAAACACTGCTTGTTTGATGTTTGAGCAACCTTGATTGGTCTCCTGAAAATTTGGAATATTTCTGGAAGATTTCGTCTATTTTCTTTCTAATCCAGCTGTCATAATCATATAGTCTTTTTAAAATTCTAGGTCTTTCCAAGTGTATTAGCAGGAAGGCTCCAAGAAACAACCAATATTTAAAATCATTCTTATCCATTATGTGTGACAAGTCGTCAAGGTCTCTTTCAAATGTAAGGTCTTTGGGGTTAAATAAAAGTTTCAATACTTTATTTTTGAAATCTTTTGCTTTGAACTGGGGAGGAGAAAGGACGTCTGAGTTATTCTTTTTCTTTTTAATGCTATTATTATCTTCGTTCTCGTAATCATCTTCTTCGCTTTCACTTGTCATATTATCTTCGCTTTCACTTTGGATATCATTGTTCTCCTTCTGGTATTGCTCGACAGCGTCTTGCTGAGCTTTCTGATAGTTTTCATGAAGGTCCTCTTGCCAATTGCCTAATATATTTGTAGGATGTTTATCTTATTTAAGGTTTAAAGTTGCCCTAATTTGGCTAGAAACACTCGGTTTTACACAAATGAGTTTACTAATCTACTAACTTAAATTGAAGATTTCGAATTCCCAATGATTGGGAATTTTATTTACTAGGTCAGTTATTATCTTTTGTAAGTCAGTAGCAATCCTAAAAGAAGAACAAAATAATATCTGTGAATTAACTTACTTTGGAGCTTAAACACTTCTGAATTCTCGTTTTCTGGATTAGACTTGACCTTGCTCTCCATTTGTTTCTCATCTTCTATGTCCATTGCAGGGAGTTAATTTATAAAAGATTATAATATTTCAAGTTGGGCCTATTAAAAAGGGGTTTTGGGGTTTTGGGGTTTTGGGG